TCGAATAAAACCTACACCCCGCTATAATTACTTTAGTAAGCTGTCCAGACCAATCAAAATGTTTTGCGCAATTGTGCAAACGTTAAAACAATTATGTGTTGTGATGTCATGAAAAGGCGCAGGCCCCCGAGTCAATCTGGCAGCCCGAGTCAATCTGGTACCTACACCGGCAAGCACCGCATTGGTGGCCCCTAATTTAACATTTTGCTCAGTGTGAGGGAAGCTTCAGACTTTTCCTATTTTGTCTTAAACGTGGTTGATTTATATGTGGACTTTAAATTTGTTTTGTGTAGACTGGCTTGTGCTCAAAAAATGCCATTCATATCAGGCCTTTTGAGGCAATTTTACAACCTATTTTGGAAAGTTTAGGTAAGTTTTAGCTGACTCTAAATTGTTCCAAAAAAGTTAAGGATCAATTTATCCAGTCTTGGTTTGACCTCTCAGCCCACTTCATACCTTTTCAGGAATAGATCTTAATGTTCCCACTGACAATAACATACAACTCTTTTCACTGGTTAATACTAATTACAAACTAAACAACAATGTCTTTTTGATGCAGTGCAGGTAAAGCAGATGGAAGGCATCTATATTTTTGTCAAATTTCTCTAAATGCCCAATCCTGCTGAGTCACATGCAAATGATACGGACCATTGAAAACAACAGGAAATTATTCTAATACATATCCTTTAATCAAAAAGCGTAAAATAGGGTGAAGGCTAAATTTGCCTGTTAAAAAATTGAACTAGGTAAACATTTTCCATTATAAAGAAAAGGTCATAATTTCATTTTTTTTCATCAGCTTGCTTAAAACCTTTCATAAAGACAGACGTACAGTTAAATCATTCCACTTTTTTGCAACAAAACACAAGTAAGCCATGATGCAACCTCAACCATGCTTGAATTTCGGGATTGTGTTTCTATGTTTAAAATCTCAAATCAATATTGTTGCCTTTGTAGCGAAACTGCTCTATTCCTATTCTTTGACTCCTCTATATTCAGTCTAATTCCTCATAATAGAAAAATGTGTATATAATAAGGTTGTTGCAGGGAGGCTGTGGTATGCTATTTTCCCACAGTTGCTATTGTGACAGCTGCAATCTAAGCACCAGATCTCTAATTAAAGTATGACTTCATACTAAGCAAGTGTTTGATATTGATAAACTACAGTACATTTCTATAGTCTGTTGTATCTTTAACATGATTAAATAATTGAGAAAAATGTACAGAAATTTGAGGTTATAGGATATAAAGAACCTTACGAATAAATCCCCTCCATCCATACCCTCTACCTTGCTTGGATCATTTCTTATGTTTCATCTATCAACCATACTTCCACTGTGAGACCATATGCCCAGTGGTGGAAAGTAACAACGTACATTTACTTGATTACTGTACTTAAGTACTTTTTACAGTATCTTTACTTTACTTGAGTAATTTTTTTAAATGTAGTGTCACTCCACTACATTTCAAAGTCAAATATTGTACTTTCTACTCCACTCCATTTCTAGGAAGCTGCTAGTTACTTGCTTAACTTTTTAATCAGCTGTTGCTGATTTTCTTTCTTGAAATTCAATTTCAAAATGGCGGATAGCAGCCCTTAGGACTGAATCTGGCCTCCACTGTTTTAGAGGTGTAATGCCATTCCACAAATGTGAGAAAATCAGGGCTGATATTGTTTGTAGTTTCTACATTTTAACAAGGCGTGTTTTGTTGCCATGTGGCCAAGTTGTTTAGTAGGATGAGTCTCAAAGCACAGTTGTAGTTTGTTTGCGGTGATAAATTCAACCTAAAACCTTAATTCCATGGTAAAAGTGTGAGGAGAATCAAGACACTTCTGTTTTCTTTTTGTTTTAATTTTTTTTTTCTTTACAGTGTCCTGTGTGGCGATGTGGCAATAAGAATAATTGTCTTGATGCCAAAAAGAGCCCAACAGATTTTACTTTCACAAGTGGAACAGTACGGCTATAGCTATAGTGTTCCGCTTGTTTTATGCATATAAATTGCTTTATTATACCGTAATTATGCAGGGAGTTTTACAGATTATATGGACACTGCAATGTTTACAATGCTTTTTGTTAAGTTTCTGAATAATAAAAAAATATCAAAATAGCTTTCCTCATATTTATTTAGGTATTGTTATGCTAAAGTTCTTTACAGGTGGTGTAGAATCTGTAGCAGGTGGTTCTACGCATCAATACACCTGTTTGTTTCTGAAATTTACACAGTGCTTTAAAATTACTCTAAAAACTATACAGACATGTACTTATGTTAGAAAATGTAATCTGTATTTTTGAATACTTAAGTACTTTAAAATGCATGTACTTTTAAATACTTAAGCATTTTTAAAAGTGAGTACTTGATTACTCTTACTTGAGTAGATTATTGACTAACTTTTACTTTTAGTTGAATAAGATCTGACAATGGGTATCATACTTTTACTCAGGTACTACTGTTGTGTACTTCGCCCACTACTGCCTATTCCTTGCTTTTGTGGTATTTCATTTCTTAGTCTTCTACAGTGGGCTTTCCCCTCTGGGTCTCATGATTGACAGCAGCAGGCCGCCTGGACACTCATTTAACCTCTTCGAAACTCTAGCAGACGCTAATCCACCGTTGTTGCTGGTCTCTGCCTCATCCTGTTCTGGCTGCAGCCTCTGGTTTGCATACCCCAGAAAGAACATACAGAGGCGGCCACAACTGATCACTGACTCTTTGGTTGTTGAAAGCTTTTTGGGTTATTTTTGTCATCATGTAAAGAGCTAGAATACAAAATGATTTATGAAAACTTAAATTATCCTATCCCAATTTTGTGATTAGATTTTTTTTTTACCTTCAATTTTCAGAAGATCTGCTTACTATAAGGTATATTTATGTATATCATAGACATTAGAAGACTTTAAAGCTCAACAGTTAACAGCAGTGAAAACTAAATGCACCAGGCCTACTCTTGCATTAAAGCATATCTTCTTAATGCGTTTGGAGGTAGAAATCGCCTTACCCTGTGAACTACATAGCTCTCAATCTGACCTTCCAGTCATTTTAAAGACAAAGGTCATGGGTGTCTCATGTTAACAGACCCAAACATTCATGTTACCTCTAAAACATTTGCATGCCTCTTGAGGAGTACGGTGTCATTGCATGAACAGCAGATGGCGCACATGTTCCCCCCAAGTTAAAAGTGAAGGTTCAATTTAACAGACAAATGAAATCATCAATATAAAGGAGTTTTTACAGTACAGACATATAACCCAGGAGAATAGGCTTGAGATGAAAAACTATTAATTTATTATGCCTTACAATATAATCTCTACCTAATTCTCAAGATTTACAAATGTGCTATTCAAGAAAAAATTGAAAATTTCTCATGAAAATCCTGAACATTTAGTTTTCTTCACAGGTGGAATCTACTTTGGAGCAAAACCAGGATGTGCTGGTGGGTCTTCATTACAAGAGCTTTTGCTGCACTAAATTTATTTTTATATAATGTCAAATAAGAAACAGATAAGAGAGACTTGTTTACATACATAAAAAAAAGTTTTAATGACTTTGGAGGCCCACTGCAGTTTAAAAGCCCACCTTAAACTGCTCAATACTTAAGAAGTAAAGAAAAATATTATCCATTAGAGAAGTTTTTAATGAAATAGCCTGTGATATGGTTATAAGTATTCCCAACAGTACTTTTAAAGTTAATCCCTCTAAGTCTTTATAAGAATCTATAAATATTTTAAATTTAAAAAGAGTTTAGAGTTTCGGTGACTTCCTTTTTTTCTTGACGGATGAATATTACAGAGCACAGCCTTTCTCTTAAGACACCCCCATTAAAGAATGGTATTTTAGACTCAACAAATAATCATAAGAGTGGACATTTTTGTATTGCAATTATGTCTTTTAAAGAACTTGTACAGTATGTCTCTATTACAGGATGTAGACAGAGCCCTACTGAATTTTTTGCCACCCTTGGCGAAAAGTTCCTATTCTATATGTTTGTTTGGGATTGATGTCTGATAAATATATATATACACATTTCTTTTTCACAAAAGAGGACAGGTGTATTGGGAAGAAACTGCAGAATCTGAGTGCTCAGGTTACATAAACAACCTAAATGAATGCTTTAGTGTGAAACCAATTGAATGAATGAAAAAGTAACATATGTACACTTCCAAAGGTGATGGTACCTCATTAGCATGGTAACATTAACTCTTTGAAATAGCATGGAAAAACACAGATTTGTCCATCTCTGTAGATTAAAAGTAGTTTGAAATTAGGTACTTCAGCAAAACACAGAGAAAAATAAACTCAGCAATGATTACAAAAAATAGACTTGCTGCTAGCAATTTAGTAAAGTGCAAAGTCCTGATGGCAGCAGCATCAATAATTGATAAAAAATATGTAAAAACAGTGAATATATTTCCTACAAAAGAAAAAAATAATCTGTTTTCTATGATGTTCAGTGTGAAATTATTCAATAAAAATATACATTACTTGATAGCTTTTAAATATCTTTACTGGTGGTGCCAAATACTCCTTGTTCCTCTGTAAAACATACATTACTTATATTTATTATGTGGGATTTGTTATACCTGCTGTAATAAGGACTATTCCAACAAGCTTGAATTATAGCAGAGTCAAGGATTTTTCATTGTGCTTATTGAATTAAACTTAAAATCCTTCATGAGAGAGCATTATTGAGAAAGTCTATGGAAAATATCAAGCTCCAAACAAAAACCGTTTAAACTTAAAAGTATAGTGGAGCATTTTAGTAAATTTTTGAGGAGTCCCACACTCGCCACATAAAAAAAAAAAATGCATATGCATAACCCTGTACCCGCTTCAGAGAGGGAACCCCTATTAAACATGTGAGAGCATGGAGGAGCCCACTTCTCCTTGAGCAAGCTCTGTTTAAAAGTTGTTGTTTGCATCGATCATACAAGCTTACTTTCCAAAAGATTTGCTATTTTTCCATTATGTCAGACTCAAAATGGGGACCAGCACGTAGGATGGCCTTACGTAAACATATCCCAGGAAACTTTGACAATTAGGAGGAGTACTTATTTAGATGATCCACCTGGAAAAAGAACATTCTCAACTACACCTTTAACTTTGTAATTACTGACAAACAAAAATCGAAAGAGAGAAAATTGAAAGCTTTCCTTTATTTCAAGAACACATTTCAACATCACACACACACACACACATCAAATGATTAAATACACTCAAAATAAGATTTATTAGTCTCTATCACAAGAAAACATGAATAATAAAGCTGTGCAGAAAACAAGTTCTTTTTGGCATGTTTCCTTTGTCCGAGAATGCCAAATTTACAGAATAAAACCGACCTTTGTAAGAAACAAGCAAAAAACAAAACAAAAAGAAAAACACAAAAATTCACCAACTGGATAAAACCTTAGCACCTTGTTCCAGTCTCTGCAATATTTGGACTGGTGTGTAGTGGATAAGAAAGGATGGTATGAGGTTTGCCCATTAAAAAATGATCAAACTTCTGCATTTGTAGGTTATTAAACCCAAACACCATTAAATAAGCAGCATGCTGCTAGATAGAAACTGAATGACACAAGGGCTATTCGTACGAGCAGAATCCACACTTACTTCAGACTATATCCACATATGAGCTTGCTGTGCATACAGTACATCCTATGTGCTGCTAAGTCTATAAAAGTAGAACGGACTGTTTAGATCCAATGAGTCTCTAAAAAAGCAAATACTAATCTGGATCACTAAGGCACTGCTTATGATATAAATGGCTAACAATAAATTGAGGTTGTATTACCTCATAGAAACAGCTCAGCTCCAGTGTCTTCAAAATTCAAATTCAAATTCACTTTGAATGTAAAACACATGCAGGTGGATATTACTAGTGACCTAATGTGATTGAGGCAGAGTATTTTCCGTGTGTGGGGGATGAATATACGTCACATGCTAATGTTTTATTGGAAACCATCATTGATGTGACATCATGCAGGTCGCTGTGTTGGTTAAAGAGAGTAATATAATCCAAACAATGTTCTCCATTATGGGGATTCAAGTGTTTTGAACATTTTTTGTCCAAAAATGTTTTATTTTCTAATTATACATGTACGCTTTCATCATTTAAATGTTTGGGGAAGGAAAAATAATAAATATTCTTAAAGCTAATAAAAGATGTAGACTCTAGAGATAAATCTTTTACTTTTAAACAATCAAGTTTAAGAGGAACTTTAACACAATTGGGCCTGATCTTCAGAGGGTGTTTTAATAAAGGTGCCAAGTTGTTTGTATGTGCAGAGCAGATCTTCAAAGGAGAAACCTTTTTTTTTTTTTTTGCAAGTGTGCTTTCATTCATATGCAGATGATATTCTATGGGATAGGCCAATGTAAGTATTTACCAAATGCAATGCAATTTTCCAAACTGAAAAGTCAACTGAGGTTGCAGTTTTTGCATCTTTTTTTAGTAATATAAAACCTCAGTTACAAACTATAGGAGGTAAAAATATCTGCAGTCATTTTGGCCACAAAAGAGGGATTCTTACAAAGCCAGATTCTGTGAATAACATCTTTAGATCATCATAAATAATACACATGGTATAAGATTATTAAAGAAAAGCTGTCTACACAGGCCGGCACATATTAATGCAGAGGCAGACAATCTTCTTACAATTAACCAGAAGGAATCGTGACATATTCATAAAAAAATGAAAAATAAAATAAAAATAAAATAAAAAGAGACTTCAAAGAGACATGGGTAGAGGGAGGTGAAAGTTTTAATCTTTTACTTGTTGTAACAGAGCTTTCTTTTTTCCCCCTCAGTTTCATAAAATATATAACTGTGTCAACCAGCAGACAAGGTTTTGATTTTATATCATTTTATTTTTTCACTTTTGTTCATAGCATTTTTGGATAGGCTTCCTATGGGAGGTGCACTATAAATATTATTCAATCTTATCATTTTTTTTTTTTTTATAATTATCATTATAACCTCCGTCTCCATGTCTTAGAACCTCATCTTTCCTTTACATCCACTCTCAAACAGCCATTGGTTCCCGGAGTCTGCTGATTTTAAATGGCGGAACCAAACTGATTTGTATGTCTTACATTTGTGCTGCAATCTTTGTAGATCATCCACAGCAGGCCCACTTTTTGCACGTACAAAAAAACAAAATAAGTTGCGCATGCATTCTAGCGACTCTTATTTAGAATCTTTGAGGATCAGGCCCTTAGTTAAGATTCATAATCAGCCTCTCTGAAAATATTCCCACATTGATGCTGGGAAAACTGATATTGTTCAAATGTAAAATATTAATATGATATGCAGGAGAAAAGATCCCAATTCTTGAATATTTATGAAAGCTCATCTTTTCTGCTTTGCGAATATTGAAAGAAAATCAAACAACTTGGATTTAAATGCGCTTTTAAAATCTGAATGCAGTTGAAAGATGATTTATGTTGTGTAAAAATATTTACACTTCAGAGGTACTGACTGCGGCAGAATTTCATCTTTACTGCCAATGAGGTAATACAGAGAACAGGTATTGAAATACTTTTTTTTTTAAACACATAATTAAGCAATACAGCTCATATGTGTTTAGCAGTAATTGACCTAACAGGTATTTTCAGTCTGAACTGGGATTTTAGTGACAAGAATACTGAATACTTTTTTTATTTTAAAAACTAAAATTATTATTTGAACACCTGAACTAGTAATACTGAGCAAAATTTGCATTTAGGGCCCAAAAACTCAAAAGAACAACATTAGAGCATGTTTATATAAAGTCAGAAGATGTTTTATATTCTATTATTAAAGAGAATCATAGTCAGCCTTTCTTCATAATCATAGTCAGCTTTGTAATGATCAGATGTCAGATGGTCATCTAGTAGTATAGATGGTCATACGTTAAAAACTATTTTTAATGCACATGTATTTGAGAAACCGTGTGCATAGAATAAAAGCAGAAGTTAGGATGAGCTTTTTTAAATGTCACCATAAAAAACTGCAGACTATACACTTTTGAAAGAGTTCTGTACAAGTTAATGATCAAACCATGATAAAAATGATGGAAGACGTATGGAATCCCTGATGCCATAGACTCCCTGATATGACATGATGAGGCGTAGAGGTGAGAAAAACAGTGGTTATTCGTCTGAAGACCCCTCCCACAGTAAATTATGTTTTTAAACCTTCCACAAAGATCATATAAGGCCACAATGTTCAGCGACGAAAGAAAAATGTAAACACTAAAAGAAAAAGAGAGAGATTATTAGAGCCATGTAGTCTGAGGGTTGCAGCACCAGAAAATATATAATAGAGCTGAAATGGGATCATATACCTTATGACAAAGGCACTTCATGAACTGTGGGGCGTGGCCTTTGTTGGAGTCGATCCACTGTTGATCTCCTGATCTTCTTCCTCCTCCTCCTCTTTCCAGCCACCAAGGTGGGCAGGGGCTGGCATGGAAATGTTGGAACTATGGCAACCATGTGAATGGAAAGCTGGTTAAAAAGAAGATAAACAGCCGATTAGGGTTGTATCTGTTGTAAACACACTCTGGTTGTATTCTCTTTGTTTCAATTCGATTTCCGGATTTAAAAAAAAGGGTAGCTTTAAAAAAAAAAATTAAACCAGCCTTTTAGATTATTTTAAAGTGCTCTTTGATGATATAACATGCTGTAAACACGTAATTAGGTTTCTTTTTTTAACAGCAATTTTCATTTTTAATCCATCCTTGTCTGGATAAATGATCTGCTTATATTACATCTATAATGTTTCCCTTTAAACAACCTGTGTTCTGCTATGATAATTAGCTTTAGAAGATTTTTTTCTCAGTGAGTGAGATAAATAAAAACACCATTTAGTGCACCTGTTCTCTGTACACTAGATTCCCTTACAAGCAACCAGATTTGTATCCCCCTTTCAAAGTGGCTATTTAAAGTCACGGTCAGTCAGTGAACTCATTTGCAGACTAGTCCTAAAGTTGGTCGGACAATTCCAGTATCGTCTGGCTACATCGTGATGTCCCATAAGACAAAGTGTGCGTACATTTTAAAGCATCTTTTGTTGGCGATGAGGTCTAGAGTAAGCAATATCTCTGAGTATGGCTCCTAGATCAAGTCACAGCATGTTAAACAAAAATACAGTCCTTTAATACATTCTGTTTTACTTATATCTGTTCTCCCCCACAGTCTAAATGACCAGCAGGCATGTCTGTTTTTTAAAAATCTAACTACTCTAAGCACGTCTGATGATTATGTCAGACAAGCAATATAACAAAAATAATGTAAACACATTTCGTCTCGCAGCAAAGTCGTTATTAATATTTTATACTAATGATTGAAAGATAAAGGCTTTTTTATTTTGTCCCTCACTGATGCCAATTATTATGAACCTGATATGTACTGCCAATATGTTTGGGCCAATTCTTGATGCTGATATTGTTTTTTTTCACCTTCAGTAACATGATAAAATTGACACCAGGATAAAAAATGTTAAACAAGCCATAATTTAACAAAAAGAAAGAAACATTTATTAACAAATCAAACCAATACAACAATGGATAGCGGATGGAGGGAATCCAAATGCATGCGCCTCACATGATCTCAAGGCCTGGCTGCTGAATGCACTAAAGAATACATGCAGATGTTGGCAGAGGCCAGCTAATGTAACAGTCTATCTCCATTTTATACAATGTACTTCAGTATGCTTTAGTAATTTAAGGCTATAAAAAGCTTTTTTTCAGTACTGTAATTACATAATTTAATGGTAAACTAGATGAATTTCTGGTTGCACATCTGCAAAGGGGCTGATGGTACAGCACTGGCGTCCGGTACAGATCAGATAGTGGGGAGTGGCGGCCTTGTGCATAGGGCAAGGAGCTTGGAATCCAGCGGTTCTGAGTTCGAGCCCCACTCCCACAGATTGCCACTCTGGGTCTCTGAGCAAGAACCTTAATCCCGCACTGCTGCCCGGGTGCCCCACGATGGCCGCCCTCTGCTCCCCAAGTAGATGGGTGAAATGCAGAGGTCAATTTCTCCAATGTGAGGTCAATATAGTTCAATTACTATTAATTATTATTATTATTATAGTGACAGACTCAATCAAAATACCTCAAACTGTAGCTCCTAGCTCCTGTCCCTTCATATTTTGCAGAGCTATCAGAAAAATTAGGACCACAGCCCTCTGTATAAGAACTATACATAACTAAAGTTACACAAATGTTACAAACAACTGAAGCTCTCCATTTTAAAACCCAAAACATATGAAGTTACGAACAATTGCATGTATCGCACATAATACATATGAAGAAATAATGCGTTTTGTTAAGCTTTGTAAAGTGGGCTGTGCGTATGCTTCCTCTCAAGCAAAGGATTGAGCTTCTAGCAGCCAGGAACATCAGGAGGTCTCTATGATAAATGAACTGGTGTCAGGAAGCTTCACACTTCCTCCTCCTAACTCCTTCATTACTGCCAACATTATTTGGATAGCACTTATCGAAGCTGCTTATGGACTTAAATCTGGTACGGACACTTAAGCTGTGGCTTTACAGATTTGAAGTATTTGAATTGAGCCAATAAGTTTCTGGATATCTTGTTTAACATGGTGGCTAATTGTTAGGTAAGAGAAACGTGCCAGAGGATGAGCTGCAGGTGCTTGTGTCATCTATTTCCAAGCAACTCGCTGCTTATCCCCTTAATGATTATCGATTAAGGAGAAGCTTATCAGAGTTGATTGTTTTTAGCTCAAACATAATGTAAAACCTGAAAAGCTCAATAAAAAAGCACCCCGAACCCCAACCTCAATTCAAGTATAAATAACAAACAATCACACAAATGATAAAGAACACACAAGCAGAGAGCTGGGGACGTCAGCTAGATGTCAAAGATCAGAAGTCTATAAATATGGGAAGCCAAATGCGCCACATGTCAGCTGGCCAAACTGCAAGAGCTCTAACGATTGTAGTGTGAATCATATGATCATCTGACTTAAATCTGGACAGCAGCAATCCAGATTACTGTCAGAAATGAAGGCTTTAAAATAAGTGTTCACTTACCTGGTTGCTCTATAGGGGGGCTGTTCCTCGTATAGAGAAACCCCTAATCAGTTAGATCAGGAATATTTAGGCTAAAAATGAGCAGATTTTGCTTAGACTGCTGATTTCTCGGGGCACTGCTGGAAAACATCTGATTACCTGTGTTGCTGTGAAGGTCTCTCATTGGCACTGAAGTCTGCCACTGTCCTGAAGTCCTCTGTGGATGGGAGCTCTGCTGATGGAGCTACACACACCAAAGATTAGTCAGGGTACGACATTAAAACAAAGTTTACTTTTAAACACAAGCAATACAGAGCAGATCAATATTCAGGTCGAGTAACTGTAATGCAGTGCAGCAGGTGTACGTATGAACATAAAACATCCAGATATTACCTCATGCATGTAAATGGCATGGAGGCTCATCTCTGCTGAGGCGAACTCTGAGTGCAGCGCATTGCTCCGGATGTGAGAGTCACTATGAGACATGCTGTAAGAGAGCGTGTGTTTTAGCTTTGAATCTGTGTACGAGTTTCAAGAGAACATATTTAAGAACCTACTGCAACGTTACCGTCTTAGGTCTTTACGTACCTGTTGATGATGGTGCGATCGCTGTGGTACATGGTGGTCTCAGGGTAGACGGAGGAGGGCAGAAGGCCATGGGGGCGGCTGCGACCTGGATGTGCGTGATGGGAGGAGGAAAGAGAGGCCAGGACACTGGCTGCAGCCGAAGCAGCGGAGCTTGGTGGGATGAAGCGATGGTCTCGTCCTTGTAATCCAGATGCAGTAAGGATGGGGTGGGCCAGAACACTGGCTAAAAGATTTTCAGGCTGAAAATGCCCCGAATAGAGAGGGTATTAAGAACAATTCCATATATTATGGATCCTACATAAATGATATCAACATTAGGCTTCTTACCCCAGTGCCAGACTCGTTGGATTGAAGCGAGGTGCACAGAGGGGCCTCTGAGAGCAGCAGCTGTGTTGAAGGCCCCCCCTGTGCATCATGTTGCACCTTCTCCTTTAAGTGGCTGATAAACAAGGAGCTCTCCTGAGGCGGCTGCCAATGGGGGTTCTTTATGGTGAAATGCATGAGGGACAACTCCGTTTTGCCATTTTCAGCCTGCTGATATACGGACGCCTCTGTCTGGCCCTCTGACATCCACTGCAAAAGTATGAGTATGAACAAATAAAACATAAATAGTATTATAGTTTTCCTAAATCTACTGGCCTCAATTCTGTCATAAAGGTTCAAAAAGTCTTACGGTTGGGTTTCCATGGCGCCTGATATCCATCTGAGCAAAGGAGCAGATATCCCCAACTCCGACCACTTCAACAGTGAAGTTCCTGAAGAAGTCAATGATTTCCAGGGATTTGTTTCTCAGGAGGAAAATAAGGATGAAAGGAGTAACAATAGGGCTTAAAAGCTCCTCCAAAATGAACACCTAAGGTAAACACAGAGACACTAATTAATTCCAACCCAACAAAATGTATCAATAGTGGTATTTTAGAGAGAATGATCCTTTTTATAAATCTTGGTTAACAATCATGGAAAAAGAATCCAGTTCGGTTTAATAGTGATTCATGTCTTCCTATCTACTGTTCTCCCCACCGCTTTGTATTGGAACAGCTGTGCCACCTCGTCACGGGTCTCGCTCTTGTTTGCGTTCCCTCTCCAGTGGTCTGGCATGTAGTGGATATGAGCCAGCACGCACTGCAGAAGCTGCTCCGGACACCAAACCATATGTTCGTCTGGGATGAAAGACCTTGTGTAAAAAAAAAAGTATGAAAATGTTCAAATAAGCCGTCTGAAAAACAGTGGATTTCACAGGTAGTCATTACTTTCATGCTACAACAACAAACTTGAGCGTATTATATTTGAGTGCATTACATTGTTTTATGTAATACACAGAGGCTAAGTAGAATGGAGTTGTGAAATGGAGGAGAAATGAAACTCGTTTTTTTAAACATATCAACATAAATGCTGCTTTTGAATGGTATTCAGCCCCTAAGTCAATCCTGTGTAAAAACACTCATTATAACAGTATGTTTATGCATTTAATAGATGCTTTTATCCAAAGCATATTACGAAGTAGACACAATTTTACAGTTATCATCAATGTGACAATAAGCTCTCTAGAGGAAAACCCCCGCCAGAATCAGTGGTGACAGCAAAGAGAGAGAGAGAGGAAAGTGCAGAAAAAGTAGTAGAGGGTTAGATGGGTAAGAGTTAGGATAAGAGATGCTCTTTGAAGAGGTTGGTCTTTAAGAGTTTCCTAAAGATAGAAAGGGATGTTGCTGTTCTTGTAGCGCTTGGTAGGTCATTCCACCATCTTGGAACAACCCATGAAAACAGTCTGGATTGCCTTAAGCGTGATGTGGGAACTGCTAGATGACAATCACTTGATAACCGCAGTGACGGAGTTGTGACATAAGCCTTTGCAAGAGGATTCAATTAGACGTGTGCTGTACCAATAAGCACTTTGTAGGCTAGCATCAGGGACTTTAATTTGATGCGGGCAGCCAGGGGTTAAACATTCAGTATGTATCGACAAGATATGGAAAAACAAAAATAAAAAAGCTACTTTTGCAAACTACCTCAAGCTTAGTCAGACTGAACAGGGTTTTATGACCATTTTCAAATCTTGTCCCAAAACCCCAACTGAATTCAGCTGGAGGTTGTAACTATGAGATTCTAATGGAATAGTTACTATTAATATGTATTGATCTGAATCCATCAATTGCTGCCCTGGCTGTATGTTTAGGACTGTTGTTTCTGTTGGACATATGTTGGAGTCTGAAATATTTCACAGCCAGAAAAGCTTTCCCACACCATGCTACTACCAGCACCATCTTCTACATTGGGAATGTGGTGTTCAGAAGGTGAGGTTAACTTTTGGCCACTGAGCACAGCTTTAAAACTCTATCTCTAACCTGTCTGGTGTTTTCCTTGTAATTATTAATGCATTTTGTTCTCAAAAAAGTTCTCTAACCACCATCTGACGTCTTTACAGAGCATCTGGATTATTACCTATTCACAGACTCTATTTACTAAAAATGTGACTTCTAAAGGCCATTGGTTGCATTGGATGTTATGGAGGGGTATGGACATAAATTGTTCTAAATTAAACATTTCAGTCTTTCCATTTCACCTTATTATTTTTTTCAGTTTTTTTCACGAAGTTTGAATAAAGCAAATCAAACTTTGTGTTTATAAAATAGTAAAATATTAACTAATGTTGTATGAATACTTGCTAATAGTCATTATAGGTATATTGAGAAAATGGGAGTTGGAAAAAAACATAATAATCTTTACATTTAAACTAAGTAGATTATCAGACTATCAAAGTTACATAAGAGACAAAAATAATTGTTAGGTCAATTCAAGGCACCTAGTACTGTGTGTATGTATGTTAGGATGATATACAAGATATAGCATAGCAAGTGTTCTGGCTGATAATCATTCTGCAAGTGTTGCATCCACAAACAAAAAGAAATGCCAATAACTTACCTGGTTATGGTGATAACCACACCAAGCACAGTGATAGCGGTCAGGATGTGCTGCACTGTGAGAACGTCCTCATCATAGACGGTCAGTGCAATGAGAACAGCCAGCACCGACCCTGAGAAAAAAGCAACGTTCTTAGCGAGCACAGTCAGCAGCGGTGATGTGAAGGAGTTCATGTATTTGGAAGTGGGCTTGTAGCCACGACCCAATCGTCCATGCAACTCATGGTTCAGCTCATTGAAGTGCCGCAGGTATAAACGGCCATACAGGGACCACCGACGTGCGCCCAGGCTTCCAGGTTCCCTGCGGATCACTTCAGTGTAACTGAAGAATGCATACAGCACCTGCCACACCAAGATGAAAGGACACAGCAGCAGATTGGCTACTCCTATCAAAAGGATCACTCTGCTGAGGTTCTGGGCTAGTTCAAGGCGATTTCCACTGCGTTTGTACTTGGGGTGCAGGTTCCATTTGTTCTGAAACAGAGACCCAGGGCCCCAAAACAGGATAAGCTCAAAATTGTACTTGAGGCCTTGGGTTAAGAAGACCACATTGCCCAGCAGGGGGAGCTGCAGATGCACTGGCAGCAACGATTTGTTTATCATTGCCACCATGTAGTTCTTAAAACGCAGGATGCGGTGATAGATGTCAAGCTCTGTCAGCTCTTTCTTGTGAATGCACATCTGCTGTTCCCTCTGCAAATTGATGAGCCGATCCTGGACTTCCTGCCATGTAAAGTTGCATAGTTCATCCTGACAGGAAAAAGGAAGAAAACAAAATAAAGAAACCGATGAGAAGAATAATACAAAGTTTATTTACTGCAGCAGATCTTAGGAGGGTTCATTAAGTGGTATTCCTACCATCTTAATCTTCAGTGCTTTGATGTAGAACTGTCTGATCTCCCAGTAGCTCATAACGTTGCAAAAGACTTTAACAAGACGATAGATCCAGAAGGTGGCGGCCATGATAAGAAGAAAAATGATCCAACTGTTCTCTTGTATCCTAAAAGAAAAGAAAAAAGCACTTTCAGACTCCAAGACCTTTCTAATACAGTTGTGCCTAAAAGTTTACATACCCTTAAATTAAAGACAGAAAAAAGCATCAACTTCCATTAAAAGAAATTGAAATTAACAAAATAATACATAAAAAAAAGAAAAATAGAAATCATGATATTGATTTTGAATAGGCCTATTTATATATATATATATATATATATATATATATATATATATTAATAAATATAACAAAAGGTCTTCTAGATAAAATTATGAAACAACCAGAGTTTTTTGGGTTGGAGCCTAAAGTAGGAAAGCATCAGCCCTCCCCCACCTGTTGCTGTGCACTGCTGGTTAGCCACAGTTTTCCTTCACAAAAAAAGACATATATAGTAGATAAGAAATCACTTCTTTAAAGCTACAGTTTGTAATTTTCAGCGACATCTAACGTCCAGACTGCAGACTGCAGCAACATGAACATCTCCCCCCCACCGCTTCTCCCCCCCAACAGTACGGCAAGCGTTACGGGACAAAATGTCTTCCACGATGTCCGCATCACCTACCTTCTCAAGTGATGAGGTTTGTTTACATAGATAATTTTAATACTGCCATCTATTGTTCAGTACCGTCTCAGTTCATCTCTCTCAACTTGCCGTAGTTACTTTCGAGCGTAATGGGCGATCTCGCAATCGCTAGTTTGTTGGCTCTGCGCTGCTGTAGCGCAAACATGTCTGCCTCCATGGCTGCGAGACCCGCTCCTATGTAATTATAAATAACGAATTCTAAGGCAACGCAAATATTAAGGTTAAGAGGCTGAGCTCGTAGATGATGATAAATAACATAGTTATGTATAATATATTACATTTTTGACTGTATATCCCTGTAATTATTACACACTGTAGCTTTAAAAAAAAAACCCAAAGAAAGTAATTTTTTTTTTACAAACAAAAACATATTTCAAGATCCCTTTTAATGAGATAAAGCAGTTTAAAATTACAGTCAGGAAGTGCCAAACAGCTTATTCTTAAAACAGCTGGATGGAGGTAGATATATTATCCACAAGACATGAACTGTAGAGATTCACTTTAAAGAGCGCTTTTTTTTGGTAATTATAGCCGTCTGAATCTGAATACTTTCTGCATACTTTCAATAAACAGATCATATTCATGCTATTGTGAAACATTTTACAACATGGTCTCAGTCAAGGTCCCTTTAAAGGAGGAATGAACTGCAATAACGATCCTCGGTGCACATGTGTTCAACGCTCTTCAAATGTGAAACTAGATAGGCGTTATGAAGAGGACAGAGAGAGACTCTTAACTGAGGGACAAGCTGTTCTTAAAGTGGAGCGCTGTGTGGTTCGACGTCACTGACTTTGACATAAACAACTTTTGAGCCGAAGTTAGACTGAAGCTCGAACAGATGACAAGTGACCCACAGGAGCAGGATAGGCTGAGGCTACACAGAAAGGAAATGTGACAGCACAGGTTTGGTGGGGTGGGGTGGGGACGATGGGGGGTCTCTTTCAAAGCCAGGTAGCAATGTGTCATGTGGTAGTCAGCTCGTCAGTATCTTAGTCACTCGGTCGTACCACACAGCAAAGCTATCAGTTACACTGGCTGCTTCTCTGAAGCATGTCTGGGCAGATCCCACTAACATCTTTCATGACAAATTTCCATCTTAAACGCTGTCAAGCTTAAAAAAACAACAACACAAAAGCGTAAAATAATCCAATCTATGAAGAAATTGCATTAGTCCAAATAAACAATGACTTGGTGAATTTCAGTTAAACTGGGATAAATCCATTTTAAATTTAACGTCTTTAAATTCTACTTTAAAACAACAACACTGTGTATAAATATCAATACTGATATTATTTCATTACAATAAAGTCTCAGTTCTTGACTTTGGCAGCATTACATTAAATAACTCATTGTTAAGCTTTCCTTATTCAACTAATCCCTATAAAGTGGAGCTAAATAGGCTTCTGTTCAATATTCCTGTCCAAAGATACTGACCGTATCTTGCAATCTACAGCCACAACTATTTCAGCCCCATAAAACTCCCATTGTTTAATCGCAACTATATTAGGCAGAGCAGCTGTGAAGAGTCTGACAAAAGGAAACTCTCCAAAGGCCTGCCTCTAATTCTGCACTCGGCACGAGAACAAAGCATCTCATCAGACTGGCTGAAATGGCATGACAGCCTCTGATGATATGACTTAATGTGAATGAAACAGATTAAAGTACTTTTCATTTCTGCAACAAAATCTGTACCTCTGTGTGCACTGCTGGCTCGGTAAGATGGCATCTGGAAGAGTCACTTTGTTTCTCTCAAAAGGGTTCTGGCCTTGCCCGGTGTGGTTCACTGCTCGATTGGCAAAAAGGATGTCATACTCCACACAGTTGACCAGGAATGTAGTGAATGTGACAACGAAGAGAAACTGACTGCAAGGATAAAAAAAAGAGTGCTATTGGCTTTCATACTAATTCATTACGCTGCATCTAATTTCAAACTATTATAAAGCCACAAGAAGTTATTAATGATTATGTTAATTAATTCTTTTCCAGCTTGCTTTTTTTTTTATTGCATTACACTATCACAAGTACAGAGCAATGATCCCCTTGGGGAGCAGTGGACTGCCATTTTGCGGCACGGGGAGCAGTATGGGGTTAAGGGTCTTGCTCAGGGAGCCAGAGTCACAGTCTGTGGGTCTGGGGTCAAACTCACAACCTCAGGATTCAAAGCTCTATGCCCTAACCACTAGTCCAGCACTCCCCTCTCCTGGATATCAGTTTGCAAATAGACTCCAAGCATCCAATGAGTACCTGCAGCATGCTAGGCTAACATGCAGGTTTGATAAAGACATTACATTAATACCATAATGTAATTATAGGGATAGCATATTCAGATTAGGAGAATCCCTAAAGGTGATCTTAGGAGATTGATTTCCCTTCTTTACCATGACTGTTAAGTCCTTGTCCGGCCCTTTTTGCTACTATCTTATCAATTTAAAACGGTTTGTTTTTTTCTTGACAGTAAATATGGTTCGATTGAATATTCCTCACACAAAACTATTCTACCTGAATGACATGCTCCCTTGTCTTACCAATTTTTGATGGTAGCTAAGAAAATATGGCCCATGGGTCACATTGTACCTAGCCTTAGTGAAAAGAGATTAGTAATTTAAAGTTTGCAGACAAATATATAAATAAACATTTTGGTTATATTTATTTTTTTAGACAATTCTAAACTGAGATTTCAGATTATTACGGTATATTAAAGGCTGGATTTTGCTTAATCTCTCTTTAGAGAAATGATGCTACTGCATTAAAATATAGATATTTTAAGACTTTCTACCACAGAGAAAGTGTTGTCTCCAGATAAAAGCTTAAATATTAAATAAGGACAGAATTTTAGAGCACCTATAGAAAGAACTGTTTTCTTTCGCAATCATGCATCCTTTCATAAATGAGTAGAAGACCGAACTTGTTCCCATAAAAGCATGTGACAGTCACTTCTCGTCATAAAATAACAGAACACCAGGGTCACAAAGCACTGCTTTTTTAACTGAATACAAGGGTGTTCTTTTTGATAAAAGTATGTCACTGTGCCCCAAGCTGCATCTTACATGTATATTTACAACTCCATACTTACATGAGTTCAAAACATTCTGACAACATCATACAGGCAAAGCCATTCTTTTGATGGAAGTGGTAGATGTGAACGGACTGGTTAAGGAAAATCTGAAACGGTACTCTACAACAAACATATAATCAAGCTGACTGATCAAAACAGAGACATGATATCGTATAAATACATACAATAGAAATGTACAATTCAATCTAGCTTCTTTCTAGCAGTGCCTGTTTAAAATCAGACTGATCAGCTTGCTGTCCTTTTCTTTTCATCATGCCTTTAATACAAAAAAAAAAACTAAACAAAAACGGTATCACATTGGAAAGTGAAGGAATAATAAGATAGGAATAATCTATCTGATCTGTATTCAGCTCCAGAAAGAGCAAAGTGCAGACATTTAGTTGATGCATTTATAGAAAACAAATTATTTCTTCCTATATACACATATAATTAATAGGAGAAACACATCAGAGTATTTCAATATCTAATTTGCATATTGCTAGTAGTGGTATTTGGGGGACATTGCTGATTCAATCTTGAAATCCCTGTAGGGGATTGTTTAAAGACAGCTAATGTGAAGAGATGAATAGATACTAATATAGGGGTCAGATTGTGTACATTCTGAAAAGGGAAAAGAAAAACAACAAAGAAAAAAACAATATCCACCCATAAGTGGTCCCTCACATAGGTTAGTCACATAAATCAATTGCACTGGTTTGACTGAGGGGTAGCAAGCCAGAGAAAAGCTAGTTAAGATTTAGAAAAACAGATGGAACTGGTTTCAAAGCTAAACACAACCACTGTAATGTGGAAGTGCTTTGGATTCAAACAATATTACTGTCAATCGAAATACTTCCTGTCAAATTTTATTATGATAACATAACTAAAAATAATATAATTGAGAATAATAAATTATAGCAATAAATTTTTTTCTAATCAAATTCATTTCTGTATAAATCGTGACATACCTTTAGTCACTAGTGACACTATTTACTCCTTACTGAATATTAGCTTAACCTCCAAACTTCATGGTATGTTTATAAGACATAAAATAAGCTTTTATACCAAAATAAAAAAACATATTTTAGTATAAGCAATAACTGTGTCTGGAGGATGTTTTTTCTTAAGTAAGCATTTTTGCTATTCAGTGAAGTTACTCACAGTGTATAAAGTAGCCAAACATTTTATGCAAGAAAGATTTAATTTAAAAAGGATTCCCGCACATGATTTTGCCTGATCAAACATTGCAACTAAATTTATTCTATTGCAAGTTGGACAGTATGCAGGAGGTCTTTTTAAAATTTTGATCAGTATTTCTTTTATGTCTAATTATTGATTTGCAAAGAGCTTAATTCAAGTAAGAATAATAATATCCTGTAAGGATTGGGGCTGGGCAAAAAAATCGATTTAATCGATTTGGAATCGTTTCCTTTACATTTTTGCAAAATCAATGTCTAGGGAATGAGATCGATTAGTTTTATAGTGATGTGCGTGACATTGACATTCAAATGAGCAGGAAAGATGCACTCAAAATACTTCAAGCCAGACAGCTGCAAATATAGCCAATAGGTTAATTAAAGACATTAACAAATGAAGGCTGACCAGCAAACACCCTGTAATTGTTACAGACAACACTGCAAATATGGTTTGTGCAGTGAAGATAATGCAGCTCATCCATGTCTGCTGTGTCCCCGCTGTGTCACCTCTGCTTGCTCGAGTGAGGCTTTTTCACTTTTCACAAACAAGTTTGAACTTTTGAGACAGTTTTGTCCACATCTCAAGTTTAAACTGTCTGATTTACAAGTTTGCACTTTGTGTTTAATATAACAGGAAAAAATAAAATACATGAGTATTTTGAAACACAGTTGAACCACTTTCATTATTGTAAAAACAGATCGAATTGAAATTAATCGATTTAGAACTGTATGAATCAAAATCGAATCGATTCAGGACTTTGGCAAAAATACCCAGCCCTAATAAGGATATATTACCCAAGTAGAAGTAAAAAAAGAATATCCAGAAAAATGACTCTGAAAGTAATACTTTAAGAGGTGACTCAGATAAATTTGAGACCATGTGGTTTGTTGGATGGTTTGTTATGAGCTCTTCTGTGGGCTAGAGCAGGTTACCTGTTCATATCTATTCCATGAAGCCACTTGTTTTGCAATCTGCCTGCAGTAAACATTACACAACACTTCCACAGCAACTACTGATTTAGCAAGACGTGATTTCAAAGGATATTCTTGTAAAGAAGTTATCCAAGTTCTTGATATGGTGCCATGAATCTGGAACAAAAATGGAAACACGCATCATCCAAGTGTTAAAACAGCTGCATCCAGTCCTTTTTAGATCACTAAAGTAGGGCAAATGTATGCCCAACCTGTATCAATACCATTGTGTTTACCTTTCAAACTTTCAGGCACATGCACCAGTAAGTCCTCTTCCCCTGGTGGAGAGTCTTCCTCATAATCCTCAATCCTCTGATACTCCTGATAGGCTTCAAAGTTAGCCATTGTGCTTCATTCTTCAGTCACCCAACTGTTTTTAGTAAACACTACACCAAACGAACTGGGAGCGCAAATCACGGCTACATTATGTAGCTAATAAGCATCCCAAGCAGCTCAAATAAGGGTAAGAAAGGCTAACATTAGATAGCTAACTAGCTAGTCTGACCGATACTGCTTGTATAACCCAAAATTACAATGATTTGACGTTGTGACGTAATGATTTAACGTGATTTGGCTTTGTTGTTTTAGTATTGAAGGTTAGCAGCGTTTAGAAAAGCTAACAGATGAAACCGAGAGTATGGGAGCCACCGGGTTTAGCTTGTAGACGATCAGCCCCTGAGTAGTCAGGGTGACACGGTTTGTTTTGTTCCCGACCTGCTCTGTGGCGATGCTGATCCTGATCTGCTCTCAGACTCGGTCAAAGGAGAAGTCTTTAAACGATTTCTTTTAATCCATCCAGCTAGTTTTTGTAACTATTGCTAGTACTTCAACTTATCTGTTACTTGGTTCCCAGGAAATATTAGCGATCCCGTACGCGTGCTTACTGTTTTTTTTGCCTTTCACAAACAAATGTCAACAAAACACCATAAGCGTCATTTCCGTTTGGCAATACGTCATTTCCGTCTGTCAGTGCTACTTTTCATACAATTTGAAACGCTTTTTTATTTATTGGTAAGAAAGTGTCGACCTTATTGGCTATACATTTTTAATGTATTTTAAATGGTTATTTTAGTACAGTATTTTAGATCCAGAAATAAACACGAAGAGTATGCGTCGCATTGTATGGAGGACCAGCTCTGCCATATTTAAAAATAAATACAGAAATAAATAAATGCTCAGTAAATAAATAAGCATATAATTAATTGCCCACCAAAATACAATAAATAAATAAATGTAGGTAGAAATTAAATTATACAGTGAGACATAAATTAATATATCTCATAAATAATATCAGAAGTTTACTCTCTAAGATGCAGCCCTTCCTCATTTGCATATGAGGCAAAAATGCATTTGTGCTCTGTTCAACATTATGGGCTGCATCCTCCGAAGGCCAGGTTCGAAATACGATTATGTCATAGTGCGGCGCCGAGGTCTGGTCGGATTCCAAGACTCCTCGTTATGCTGCCTACAAATGTATCCTTCTTTTTGCCTGATTTGAAGGTTGGGTCTGATGTATCATCGCTATCCTTGGTTTTCCAATGATTCATTGCAAGACCAAGCAAGCTGGCTGCTCCATGATCAGAGAAAATGGTACTTAGCCCGAACAGTGGTGAATATTGGAAGTTCAGCTTAATATAATACAAGTATGTGAATAGTTCTGTCTGAAATTAATGAAAATAGTTGTTTTAATGGTTATTGAATCAGATATGTGGCTGTTATGTTTAATTTATCTAAAGGTTTGTATCTGTTACTGTGTATATGGATTTGGCTACAATATAAGGACAGATTCTAATATATCTGCAGTGCAGTGGGACTTGTTAGGTTTATTCTTTATATATCATGTGAACTGTTACTTTGTTAGCCAGATTAGACAGAATAGAAGGCCTTCCTTCACATGGTGGATGTCACTGTGTGTATGGAGGAACATCTAATCAGGACAGCCTTTGTGTCTTTATGAATACACAGGATATGGGCACATCTTGGAGCCAGACTGATAAAGGAGAGCTATGTGTAATCCTGTGGTAAAGAGGCAAGATGCATGAAGTTCAAG